ATATCCACCTATCACTTGACAGTTTGAGTTTCGGCGGTAACGCCATCTAACACAGAACCATATGAACCCGGTAGTCACTACGTAGTTCCCAGAAAACTGGGAACATTTTTGTATAGAGGCGCTGCATGCAATCGCCTTAGAAACATAGGAATCGTAGTGGATTCCCATTGGATTCCTTCATACGCTATTAGATATATAATTATGGTCTCAGTTTGTATGGAAATTGGATATATAAATGTATATATTGATTTATACATGACTATATATATACTAGCTGACTCAGTTTGTATGTGAATAGGATATATAAATGTATATATTGATTTATACATGATTATATGTATACTAGCTGTCTCAGTTTGTATGGGAATAGGATATATAAATGTATATATTGATTTATACATGATTATATATATACTAGCTTTCTCAGTTTGTATGGGAATTGGATATATAAATGTATATATTGATTTATACATGATTATATATATATACTAGCTGTCTCAGATAGTATGGGAATAGGATATATAAATGCATATATTGATTTATACATGATTATATATACTAGCTGTCTCAGTTTGTGTGGGAATTGAAAATATAAATGTATATATTGATTTATACATGATTATATATATAATAGCTGTCTCAGTTTGTGTGGGAATTCGATATATAAATGTATATATTGATTTATACATGATTATATATATACTAGCTGTCTCAGTTTGTGTGGGAATTGGATATATAAATGTATATATTTATTTATACATGATTATATATATATACTAGCTGTCTCAGTTTGTGTGGGAATTGGATATATAAATGTACATATTGATTTATACATGATTATATGTGACTTAGTCGTCTTAGTTTGTATGGGAAATGAATATATAAATTCATATATTGCTTTTCCCATCATTGTATAGATCAAATTTGGTGCATGACATATAGCTATTATATATAAATAATTGTGGTCTCGGTTTTGAAGTAATATCAATATATACATTTATATACCCAATTCCCATACAAACTAAGGCAGTTAGGCTATATATAATTATGTATAAATCAATATATAAATATATTTACTTTATATAATAAGGCAGCTATCAATATATACATTTATATATCAATTTCCCATACAAAAATAAAATAAAATAGTTAGTAAATTTACTTGGGGGATTTGAACTCAAAACCCCAAAACGAAAACGACCACGTCCACCCTGTCGCGGGTGAACAATTGATTGAATTTGGTGCATGTGTTAACAATAACATACCTCCCTCGCCCTTAAACTTGCCGAATAAATAACCCAATCTGCATCCTTCTGATTCGAACCAACATCCTTCTGATTAGAGACGGCGACCAAGATTTTCCGCCTGCTAATACTGGAAGGACATTCTTCGACTACCGGCCATCATGATTCGAGTCAAGGTCACCGGGGGATGATATGAAAAAATTAAATGTTCACCCAGGGGGTTGAAAGTGGGCTCATTCGATTCTGTAGGTCTTTGCGAATTTCAAGCAGGGGGTTGCAGGGGGGAAAATTTTGTCCGTTTTCCGCTCAGGAGAGCAGAAAATCGACTTTTTGTAAATTCCACGTTTTTTCTATGGGAATTTTTTGAAAACTTTTTACTGACCTAAAGGTCATTTATATGAATCTCCTTGACCACGTGATTGAGACCTATATAAATGACCTTGACCTTGACCTTGCCACGTCATTGAGATCCAGATAAATGACCTTGAGCATATCATTGGGTCAGCACATAATCTCCCTGAAAACGGAAAAACTTTTCAAAAAATTCCCATAGAAAAACCGTAAAATTCACAAAAAGTCGATTTTCTGCTCTCCTGAGCGAAAAACGGACAAAATTTTCCCCCCTGTAACCCCCCGCTTGAAATTCGCGAGAACCCACAGAATCGAATGAGCCCACTTTCAACCCCCTAGGTGAAAATTTAATTTTTTCATATTATCCCCCGGTGACCTTGACTGGAATCATGATGGCTGGTAATCGAAGAATGTCCTTCCAGTATTAGCCCTCGAAAACTCTTCGTCGCCGTGGCCGAATCGGTAAGAGCGCTGAATTGGACTCTAATCAGAAGGATGCCGGTTCGAATCCGAAGGATGAAGATTGGGTTTTTTAATTGGCAAGTTGAAGGTCGAGGGAGATTATTGTTAAGACATGTACCAAATTCAATCAATTTTTTACAGGACGAGATCGTTAAATGGCTTCGGTTGCAGTGGAAATCGTTCTTGTTTTGGGTTTCGAGTTCGAATCTCCAAGCAAATTTATTAAGTAGTTCATTTCATTTCTTCAATAAATTCTAAATGTGCATTTAAACTTCTTCCAGTTTGAGTTATTAATATAAATAAATTAAAAATTATGTCATTTATGGTAAAATGGGTGTAATAGATAATTTAAAAATGCATTCCAGATATTTTAGCATAATTCACAACTGTTATTGATATATTATGAGTAGTATGTGCATATAGCACGCTGTGAAATACTGCTTTTGTAATACTTCTGTCAGGTATATCAGAACCTCATTGGTAGTATCACTTCTTGGTGTAGTGTAATGTAGTAACCTCATTGGTCGCCACATCTTGATTCTTGTGATTGTAGACTATCGGAAGTTGAGGAAGGTAAGTTATAGTAATCGTCAAAAGCATGATGTTCTTTGTGTACTGTAATTTTTGGAATTTTATTTCTGTATACCTCTCAAATTTATAATAATCTATTTGAAATCATTTAAAATTCATATTTCATTACGGTTTAAAGTTCTAGCAATTTACCTTAAGGCAAAATGGGAAAAGTAATATATAAATTTATATATCCAATTCCCATACAAACTGCGATGTAGCTAGTATATGTATAATCATGTATAAATCGATATATACATTTATATATCCAATTTCCATACAAACCGAGACAACTAGTATATATATAATGAAGTATAAATTGTATTTCGTAGTTCCTGAAGAACTGAGAACAATTTTACATAGAGGCGCTGCATGCAATCCTCTTAGAAACATAGAAATATTAGTGGATTCCCATTGGATTCCTTTATAAGGAATTCAAAGTCATTTTATGCAAAAGTTTTATATCGGAGTGTATATAAGTGTTTACATAGAAATGTGGCAAATTTTATCTAGTTTCACTCTATCTAATTCAAAAAGGGTGCTTCGATATACAATTTGTGTGTTATTTGACAAAAACCAAAACAATGTCCCGACAGAATATATTTATTGCTAAATAATAAAATGTCATATTCAAAGTCGTTCAGTTCAAAACTTTTATATCGGACTATGTATAAGTGTTTATATGGAAATGTAGTAAATTTTATCTATATTCACCCTATCTAATTGAAAAGGTGCGCTTGCATATAAAATTTGTGAGTTATTTGACAAAATAATTACCCAGTTAGACCATATATAATGAAATGAAATATAATATTGATAAATGGAACTAGAAAGTAAAATACTATTGGCTATTTTTATAGATTTATGAAAAAACTCGGTATCAAGTATATATGAGGCCTAGGTAAAGCCCAAAGAGTCGACGATACAAAATAGTTTGGGAACCTATAGTTTGCTGGGAACTCAACAAGATTTTACAGATAAGTATTGACAATCAATTTTAACTTCTCGAAGGAGAAATTTATTTTCATCAAAAAATCTGATTCGCTAATTAAATGTTTTCTCGACGTTTCAAGCCATTCTGAATTGAATGAGTGTGTGAACAGATTTTTTGCAGTAAATCGACTTTTTCTCAAAAACGCCTGAACCGATTTCAGAAATTTAGAAGCCATTTGATGTGTCCTAATGAAGACTATCGTTTGTCAGTTTTGTGCGACGATCTGCCGAGCCGTCTCTTTGTAATTGAGAAAAAAGTGTTAAACTTTTCGTCCACATTTAAGGTCATACTACCAAATCGATTTTAAAATATCAAAATTGTTCAATCAGCTGTTTTCTAGTGATTAACTGTTGAAAACAAAATTTAAGCCGATTTTTATGGAACTTTTTTTGGCGATATATATCATGGTCTTATAGATCTTACTGAAATATTACGGCCTTACGACAAGTCGTTTAATTTTAAAAATTTATCAAAGTTTGAGAAAATAGGTAGTTTTTTTGACGTCTGTTAAAATTCAAATTAGACGATTTAGTTGGTATAACGATAGGGTACTTGGTCTTAATGAACATACCATTAAAGTCCTACGACAACTGGTTCAATTATAAAAATTGTAGATTTTTGTAAATTTGCTTTTAAAAAATACTGCGAGTAAACGTCTTCCTCCGTTTTCAATTATGTGTAATAAATTCACTCGGAGGACTTTTAATCACTCATTAATTTATTTTTTATTGATTAATTCGATTATTTACGCATATCGGGAAATTCATGTAACTTGCCTCAAGGCAAAATACCAGTACCAACTAGTTATTTCTATTTCAATTCCAGAAACTCCAATGCAACATCTTGCAACTTCTCAATAAAACATCAACTTGCTAATTATTTAATGATTATATTTAAAAGTGAATATCAAGGTATGGGTACAGGTAAATATTTATTTAATGTATGCAATGATATTCAGAGATTTTAGAACAATTATATTTTCATCTGAATTTATTATTATTATTATTATTATTTGAATATTCCTTTAACCAGCCCTGGTCTGACCACGTGGTCCCAAAGTTGAACGTTTTCTCCGTCCATCAGAGCGCGCGCTTATTGTAGACCGGCTGACTCATTTTGCTGAAATTCTCGTACGAATTTCACAATTCTGGTTTTTATTTCGCATTGAACTGATGCGATTTTAATATATCTCCTGATCTGTGATAATTTAGCCTTTTAAATATAATATTAAATATTAAAATTGTGGAAAATACCAGGCGCAAGTGAGACTTGTCCTTGGTGCAAGTGAGGTTATGTAGTGTTTGTAAACATTGACGAATAGTTTATGTATGGATTTTTAATTGTAATAATATTTATTTTATTTAAATAAGACTTGAAGAGTTGTATTAAAAAAACTAGGTTTGTGTGTTATTAGTTTTTCACAAATCTGGTGCCAGAAGGACTGCGCAATCATATATTTTTAAGCAGGTGAGAGAGGTTATGTTTCTATTTTTATCTTACCTATTTTTACAATTTTTTGTAAAATAATTTTACTGTTTTAAATTAGTTATACATTGTGTTGTTATGTCTGATTGATGTTTCATTGAAGATAATAAGTCGATTTGTTATCTTTGCACAAGGTTGTATTGGAATATTTCACCTTGAGGTGATTTTAACATCTGTTGAATGAGACCGTATTTGGTAGTTTTGCGTTTATAAATTGTTTTTGTATGAAAACATGAAGTTTTATATATATATATATATATATATATTAATAATATTAATAATATTAATAATTACTTTGTTTCTAGTAAAATAAAAAATATGTTACAATTTTGTCTGAGTTTATTTTTTTATTAACTTTCTGTAGGGTGAGTTATAGTAATGGGTCAAAAATAAAAAATGAAAATTTTTGCATATCTTCACGTTTTAGAGGTTTCTGAACAATTTAGCATACCTCAGAAAAAATGGTGAATGTTTGGATACAATTTTTCGTCCACGTTTTCGGGCGCATGGATCAACCGATTGGAATGGTTCGAAAAACATTCGATTTCTTTTGATAAGGAGATGTGCTGATTAGTTCTTGGCAAAGGCAGGTCTACGGAGATACGGAGCAAAGAGTGCAAAAAATAGAAATAGAGTTTTTGTGTCGAAACATATAAATTAATATATCAAAATCATTAGTTATTTTTACAATATTTATTTCAGTCAATATTTATATAATTTATTAGAAATTTGATCAACGTCGAAAAAACTATCAAAATGTTATATAAAGAAATATATTTGTAATAAATTTATTAAGATAGTATATTAAGATAGTAGATAAGATAGTATTTGATACGTACATGTATATTTATTAAAAATTAACATTTTTATGCTTTTTACCATTAGCCCTATGTTTTTAAATCTCATCTGAAATAATTTCTGGCATTGATTTATTATAAATTATTATTCTAAAGTTATAATTTTGCCTTAGTTAAAGTCAATTTTGAATGAATTAATTTTGATAGTGATTTAATTAGTAATTAAAGTAATGTAACATTTTATAGAAATAAATATTTCTTAAAATACTTCAATTACGCTTTAACACTAGACATCTAATTAGAAAAATTCATCTGTTAAAAAAGAAAAAAAGGCAATTCAACACTAATTAAAAAGTTTGTTACAACTTATTAAAACATATATTTTTGATATTGGATTTGGCTTTTAATAGGATCAGACCTCTTAACGTGAAATTATGAATATCATCAACTTTTGTTTTTTTTTTAACTATAATTAAATAGCAATCAAAAAATAAAAAAAACATGAAAAATGTTATATAATTTCAAGTTTATTAATAAAATTCGTACCAAATTTAATTATCCATCGAATTTTTGGATCAGATTTTTACAAAAAACAAAAAAAAATCAACTATTAAATATAAAGTCATCCTGGTGCAATGGTTAAGAACATGGGCCCGCACAAATTAGACTCGGGTTCGATTCCTAACTTGCTCAACTCGATATCAAGCAGTGTAATATCAAATTTCTACTTGATAGATCTCAAATGTAATGTGAACATATATATCATAACAAAATTATTGATATTTCATACATGGGAATGTTAATTTAAAGTTAATTAATATTCAATGATTTTATATAACTGTTTATTGCTTTTTATTGAATATCCAAAAAAAATGATATTACGGTTTGAACGGATTTTTTTTATTTAAAAATTGACTACATTTTGGTTTCATACTGGAAATTTGATATTGATTTGTCAGGAAAACAAAAATATATTTAGTATATCAAATTTTTAATTATTAAATTATTTTGTGTGTAGAACATCTTCCACATAGATAGACTGCACATGAAAAAAATAAAGGTTGACCGTTGGGTTGCATTCTCGAGAAAAATATTAGTTTAAGATGAACTTTTACTTTTACTTTTATAATTTTATTTATTAATTTTTTATGTAATTTATTTTGCTTTTACGCAACAATTTTATCCCATAAAACTATTCTAATTTTGATTGATAATAATATGCAGTTACAAAAACATTAAAAAATATCATAGTCTTTTCCTATTTTAAAATACATCTCTGTCTACTAATATATTGCTTCATTTGCATTATTAAGAAACGTTTTGAAACGCTGATATTTTAGTTACTTTATATTATCTGTAACAACTATGTTGTTTCAGAAATGTATATTAAGGCGTTATTTGCTAATCAAATTATGAATAATAACAAAAACCAATAAATCGTTTATAACTTAAAAACATACACTATTTTACAAAATTTTCCTATCGCAAAAAAATGTTTTACTAAGCGAGTTAAAACTGTTTATTTTAATAAATATTTTAAAACTGTTCAGAATATATTTTATTTGAATAATAACATTATTCTAAGAACAATTCTGGGTATTTTACGTCTAATTGAGTCATTGTTTTCAAATTATATTTTTATACTGCTTGTTTGTTTTGAATATAAGAAATAATGACCAAGACTGGGCAAAATATAAACTGATTCAGATTTTATTTATAAGTTTTTATGACTTGACCAGGGATGTGCAAAATATAATTTGATTTAGATATCACTTATAAATTATATCAAATTTGACACAATTTGATACTAAAATCAATGGTAACACATTGAACCCATTTTATAAAAATATAATAATTAACTTCCCATAAGGTAAGTTATAGTACCTTCACGTTTCAAAGATTTCTGTACGTTTTGGCATTTCCAAGAAAAAGGTATGTATGTGTGTGTGTATGTGTATGTGTGTATGTATATGCGGATACAATTTTTCTTGAAAAACTGCCTCAAAAGATTTAAAAAACTAGAATAAATGGTAACACGATGAACCTATTTTTTTATTTAATAATTAATTTTCCGTAGGGTATATAGTATATTTATAATATCTATACGTTTCAAAAGTTTCTGAACATTTTGGCATACCTCAGAAAAAATGGATGTATGTGTGTGTATGTATGTGCGGATACAATTTTTCAAAAAACATTCTATTCGTATCTGGTTAAAGATAATTCCATAACAATGTACCTAGAGATTTCATTTTGTATTTATTATATATAAGAGGAAAATTATTTTATAATTTTACTCTTTTTATTTTATAATATTTTTTTTTTAAATTATTTTATAATAAGAGACATATTTAAAAGATATTTTGTAATGATTTGATAAAGTTTTCAATATATCTTTGAGAGAATGAACTAACATATTTAAAATTTCAACAGCCCTAAACAATTTAAAACCATGTTTTTTAAACACATTTTTTTTAATCACATTTTTAATACTATAATTATCCCATCATTCTTAATAATGCAAAAAAATTGACCATAGAATATTTGCTAAATTTGTTTTCATTTTTTTACATTTTACTCTAGTAGTTTTTTTATTTACTTCACTATTTAACTTATTTTGAACTAACCTGCTTTTCTAACTTAAGTATAATTTTTGGTTTACTGTTTTTTTAAATTGTTTGTATAGTGAGTTTTTTTCTGTTACTTAATTTGATAATTTTATTTTGTCCTGCTCAATTTGATAAGAAATTTTAGTATTACCTAATTTGATAATTATATTTGTACTAAACTTTATATACTTTTTAAGGTGAATGAACGGTGAGACACATTTTGTTCACAAAACTGTACAAATTTTCATAAATTCTGTTTATGTTAATTAATTATTACTTACTTAATTAATTTTCAGCATCTTTCAAAATTGTAGCGATAAAATAGTCAACTCTTTATTCAAAAAATTTGGATTTTTTTTTAAACTAACTTAAAATATCTATAACTAAAAAATGCACAGTGTATGTCCTGTATAATGCTGTCCGTTAGTTTAATGATTTTTTTTAATGAAGCCACTTTTCGTGAGCCTATAATATTTTAGGCTATTTGCTAAGATCATCAACTTTTTGAAATTGCAAAGACAGAACTTTACGAAAAACTAATCAGCGCGATTTCCAACTGATATCTGATGGTTCTAAAATTTTTAAAATTGGTTTGACATTTTTTTGCAAAAATATGATAGGAAACAATGGACGAAAGTTTGTGCACTTTTTTGTTTAATATAAGATTGTCAAATATCTTCCTTCCGCCTTTTTGTATTATAAACCAAGAGCAAAAAAGCGGAAGGGAGATATTTGACAACCTAATATAAAGAAATGGCTAAATAGATGGTCGTTTTTAAATTTTAACCATTGACTAAAAAAATTATGGTCGATTAACTTGATCCAGTAAAATAGAATCTAATAATACATATTTACTGGGGTAACTACTATCTTAATTATATTTTAATAATGTCAATCAAAATAACTCCTAAAATTAAATTAATGTAAAAAGTAATATTTGACTACATTCAAACACTGAATTCTTCTACAATTTTGTTGTTAAACGATTCAGAATTCTTGAGACGTCCTCAAAGCATAATGTTCTCCTTTGAGAATTTAATAATACAAAAATAACTTTATTACAAAATAACAAATAGGCATGAGATAAATGAAAATATATATATTAATTGTATGATATAACTGTTATATAAATAATTGACATTCGATTTTGTTCTCAGCTTCTTCAAAATGTCGTGGAACGTCTATCCCAAAAACTACCATGCCCACAGCTATGGTTGGCACCGCGAAAACGACGTCAACGCCATCTCCTACAAACCTTCAAATGGCGCCGCCAATGGTGCTGCCATGGGTTTCAATCCTGGCTTCGGAACATCCTCCTTGCCCTACCCACCAGCACCCAATCAACAACCCGGTCTAGGTTGGAATCTAAACTCTAACTCTGGACATCCTGGCTACCCCACATCACACCCCTCCGGAATGCCTGCTGCTCCTGGATGGGGTTTGAGTAATAATGTTCCTTATGGGAATGCTGGTGTTCCGATGCCATCTCCTTATGGAGCAGCTCCTTCTCCGTTCGGAGCAATCGGTACTCCTTATGGTGGTAGTAGTTATCCTAGTTTACCAGGAGGTGGTTCTGCGCCTTATCCGGGCGGTTTTGGAGGAGCAACTCCGAAGCCTCAAGAGGGTTCTGTGGAACCTGATGCAAGACTAGAGGTGGACGAAGGTGTTCTGACTGCTGTTATTATTCCGAAGGATGAGTTTCATGTGAGTGGATTTATTTTATTTACTAAAAATCTTTTTGGTTTTGATGATTGGAGGAGAACTAGTATTTTCAATATATTAAACCTCTTATAAAATTACCCCAGTAGAATCGTGGTCAGGGGTAAAAAATCGTGGCGCAATATTCAAATCTTGGCTAAAGATGGGCCAGACAATATTTGTTTTCAAAATTATGGAAAATTTGGAAAATTTGGAAAATTTATGGGAGAACTGTTTTATATGGCTTAGTACAAATAAAAAACATGTTTTCCATCTGATTTATATCTCTAATTTCATCTTTACACGAATTTTATATAATTTTTAAATGAGGGCGCAATGGAAGCTTTTTATGGGCGACCAAGATTCGTTTCTTCAGTATTATTGGACTTAGGAAATACATGGTATTTATAAGGGTGAAGAAAAAAATTAACTTTAAATAATTAGCATCAAAAACATGATTAAAGCTTTTAAATAGTCATATGCTCGATCGTAATTAATAGTTTGATATGGCTATGAAAATTATAAATACATTGCTGGATTTTCTCTTCTTGTGTTTCAAATAATATACTGCTTGATTTTGTTAACTTCCCGTAGGGTAAGTTATAGTAATCGCAAAAAAATCGAAAATGAAAATTTTTGCATTTCTCGACGTTTCAAAGGTTTCTGAATATTTTGGCATACCTTAGAAAAAATGGATGTATGTGTGTGTGTGTGTGTGTGTGTGTGTGTGTGTGTGTGTGTGTGTGTGTGTGTGTGCGTGTGTGTATGTATGTGCGGATACAAATTTTCGTCGACGATTTCGGGAACACCGATCAACCGATTTGATTAATTCAAAAAACATTCGATTCGTATTGATAAGGAGACGTGCTGATTAGTTTTTGGCGAAGTCAGGTCTAGCCGTTCCGAAGATACGGGGCAAAAAGTGCCGAAAACGGTAACTCAGTTTTTAAGAGAACGGAGCGTCCGATTTTAATAATTCAAAAAACGTTTTACTTGTATTGACAAGGTGAAATACCGATCAAATTTTCATAAAGGCAGGTCTAGCGGTTTCGGAGATCTAATGAAAAAAGTAAAAAAAAATGCCATTTGGCGGTCAAAAATGATCATTAGACATATGCACATCAAATTATCAGATATTTTATAGAGATTTTAACAATAAGTATAATTTTGGTTTACATTCCTATGGGTTCCGTACCAATGTTTACGCGTTAGACGTCGACGCGGAGCTTACGCGGTTTGATATTTCGTCTTTATGCAGTTAAAGCAGTACGATTGCTTTGAAAAAAAGTTTAGATCTTTCAAAATATGTCAAAATAAAGAAAACATTTTTTTTTCAAAAAAAAAAATTAAAAAAAAAAAATTAAAAAAATTTTTTTTTTCAAAAAAAAGTAATTTTTTGTCTAATTGTTTGTCAAAAATCTTATTTTTTTGAAGTAAATTTTTTTCAAAAATGCTAATCGTTTTTAAAAAAATAATTTTTGGTACGGGAAGTTCCAGCAATTTGCCTTAATTGCCTTAAGACAGAATTCCACTTACAGCTAGTTTATTCGTATATTGGTAGTGTTGTAATTGTTGAATTCATTGTACTAGTTTATATTTTAATTCGTATAAACAAATTTTATATTCAGTTCCCAGTATTGAACATGCTGATGTCGTGTTCTATATTTATATAAAGCGATTTTGTTTGCTCCAGATGTTAAAATGAGTTTTGTGCCAAAAATATCTGTGTTTCACATATTAAAATTGTAATTAGTAATTTTTGCTATATTATATTTTGAAAAATACATTAATTCAAAAATTCAGGGAGCTCTTGTTTATGATACCTCACATGCATCTTCTCAATAAGATTTTCTTACAATATTTGTTCATACAATTTTATAGCTAGTCTTTCCGATTGGTTTTAAATGCTTTTTTCAAATGTATCAGCACGCATATTTTTAAAAATAGAATTTGGCTAACGTTCAAATTTCACAGAACATTAAAATACTAAAACGTGGTTTATTGACTAATCTATCATCTAGCTTAGTTTACTCGAATATACTAATGAAAATTTAGTATATTTTATGATTTTAATTGCAAAATTCGCATTCCTAGATTCCAAACACCTTGGATGCATTATTGATATATTTTTTATATTTTTTTCATTTTTTTCAAGTTTTTAAATTTTTTTTCTTTAATTTTTTTTTATATATTTTTTGTTCATTTTTTAATTATTTACATATTATATAAAATGTAACATCAATAACTCTTCCTAAAAACTATTCTTATATTTTATATATAAATACAGTAAAAAAATCAAATATTTTACATGAATTGTTTAAAAAATTGAGAAATGAAATCCGGTTCTATTTGAAATATTGAATATTTAAGGAAATGTCGGAATATAAAAAAAATAGTAAATATGGTTATGTCAAAAGAAAGATGCAGAAAGTTTTTGATAAATTTGCTTTTGAATTGAAAATTTAAAACAAGTAAAAAGCATTTCTAAATTCTCAAAAATGAGTTTGATTTGTTTTTGCCAGAAAATATTTTATAATGATCAAAATTAAATATAGCTCGCTTAAAACATGTTATGGTCATAATAATAAAAATTTATATAAATAAATTAAAATAAAATAAAATAGAATATATAGAAATAATAATAATAATAACATATTAAGAAAAGTGTAGTCATTTCAATTGAGACAAACTTGTATGCAATAGTACACATAAACAAAAACAATGTCATGATTCAACATTATTAATCTAAAAGAACAATATCATAAATATTAAATAATAACTGAAATCAGCAAATTAGTTTTTCTAATGTCTAATGTTAAATAAATGTAATTATTTTAGTAGAAACAAATGTGTACCGTATTTTTAAACTTAGACTTAGTGATTTAATATTAATAATTTAAAATAACAGAATAGTTACTTATTAAATCATTGAAAAATGATTAATTTATGCAGATGAATGGATATAAAAGTGATACGACATTAATAATATAAAATAATACACTAATGGTACAATTGAAGATATGTTATAATTTTTTATTTATTGCTACCAAAAATATTAAAATACAATATAGATAGAAATGAGAAATTTCACAAACAACGTTGATGAATCACTATAACTTTTAAATAGCTAACTTGATAAAATTGTCGGGTAATATTTTACCCAGATACGAGTAAGTTGAAGCTAGAAAGTACGTAGAAATGTAGTAGGTATTAAAAATTTAACCAGATATTTTTACATTTTTTATATAAATATTTTTGGGTAGTCATCTAGTAATTATTTTGCCAAATTTATAAAGAAACCCAATGATTAGGCTTCTAGATGTTAAATATATACTATTTAGCAAGATTTAAAGCATAATTCAATTTGTATATTCAAAAATTACGCCTGAACCAATCTGCATTTATTCAAATTTAAATTCGAATCTCCCGCGCCTGACTAGAGTACAACTTCACAGCATACTCTCGATGTTTCTCGCTCTCTCTCTTTCTCTCCTCTATGTTCTTTGGAACCCGTCTGGGCGAGGAGCGCGTCTCTTTCAGTTGTGCAACAAATGGCGGCGGGTCGAGCTGTCAAATGTCGTGTCAGGAATTGTAATTTTTAAGAACATTTTTACATTGAGTTTGTGATTAATGGTGCAGTGTTTGTTAAAAATTACCTTATAAAGTGATTGGGTAATATTTTAAGACTTAATGTGTGGTTAATTAAAGTTTGTTTGTGGTTTTTACGGTGCTGCGGATATACACATGGTTTATAGGTATGATGTCATTGAAATGGGTTTGTCCTCCGAAAATGTTAATGGATGATTTAGATATTTCATACCTATGTTTTTATATATTTAGATTTTTGTGTGTTATTTATTTGGCCCATAAAGAATGTCATTCCTTTTTTGTTTATTCAAAACTGAGGTTAGGTTCGACATTTTATATGTCATATGATCAGGTGGATTTCAAGCAAAATATTTGCACAGGGTGTTAGGAAATAAAATTGTTTAAGACACGTTTTTAATATATACATAAAACACGTACATTTTTATGATTTATAGATATTTACTAATAGTTTTATACACTATTTAAAATTGCTATATAGATTTTTTTACTTCAAAATTACTTTGAATTGGTTTTGTGTCAATTTCATATAAAGGTACAAGTAAATTCCTTGTCCGGTGCTTGATGAATTATAATTTATTATTAATATTTCTTACGAATTAAATAAAAATTGTTTCTAAGTTTTAAACAAAACCAGGTCTGAAAGTTCTTATATTACCAAAATATTTTTTTTGTTATACAGTAATTTTTATTCACAACTGTTCTGATATAGACAGGTAAAACAACCCTAGGTAAAAAATAAGTTTCAAAAATAAACAGAAAAAGATTTTTATCCCAGTATATATTTTACCCACATGTTCATTATTTACTAAAGAATTTTTTTGAAATTTTTGGTTAGTTTTTCAAAAAAATGACAAAAAAAACTCTAACTAGTGGTGTATGGCATCGTGTCTTAAGGCAAATTGCTGGTACTACCTGTACCATGATGAAATATTCGAAGAATGAAAAAATCAAAAAAAAAATTTTACCCAAAAGCATTCATTTTGCCAATACAAGCAATATTTTTTGAACCATTCAAATTGGATGCTTAGTTCTTTCAAAAACTGTAATTTTTTGCACATTTAGCTTGGTATCTCCGAAACGGCTGAACTTGCCTCTACCAAAAACTAATCACCATTTCTCCTCACCATTACGAATTGAATGTTTTTTAAATCATTTAAATCGGATGCTCAGTTCTCTCAAAAACTGCTATTTTTTGCATATTTAGCTTGGTATCTTCGAAACGGCTAGACTTGCCTTTGCCAAAAGCTTATCACCGTCTTTCTCCCCGTCATTACTAATTAAATGTTTCTTGAATCATTCAAATCGGATGCTCTGTTCTCTCAAAAACTCGATTTCTATTTTCTGTACTCTTTACAATAACTTACCCTACGGGCAGTTAAAAGTAGTATAAATTTGTATTTGTAGATTGTAAAAAGATAGTTTTTAGATTTGTAAATTGTTTATAAAATTAGTTTTGAATATACAATGTGAAGATTCATAATTTGTTTGAATGATTTTTTTTTGCAAAATAGCATTTTCCGAAAAACTAACCAAGAATTTCAAAAGCATTATTTGGTAAGAAACGAGCACGTGGAAACAATAATTTTTCAAAAATATAAACATATTTTGATCCCAGAATATATTTCATCCATGTGCTCACTACTTCCTAAAGAATGTTTTTGAAAACTTTGGTTAGTTTTTAGGAAAAAAAGCTTTTTTTCCAAAAATTGACCCTCCAAATTATGAACCTACACTTGATAAATTCAAAACTATCTAGTAAACAGTATACGAATCTAAAAACTATCTTTTTACAATTTAAAAATACAAATTTATACTACTTTTTACAATGTATTTTTTTTTGTCAAAGTGCTGTATAATTTTCTTTTTAAACGAATCACAAACATTTGATTTTCATTATTTTAAACGAAAATTTATACATTGTACATAACACACATATTTTATTTTTATGATTTATAGATATTCATCAATGGTTTCATATTTTTCAAATAATTTTGTAATTTTTATTTAAGAAATGTTCTATTTCTAAAATAATTTGATCCAAGAGATCTCTTTCTTAGTATTTATTTACTGCAGTTGATAAAATCTTTGTATATTTTTTTATATTTCAAATTAACAAAAGCATAAACAATTATATATATATATATATATATATATATATATGAGTGAGTTCTTGAGGGCGATACATCAAACAAAGAAAAGCCAAAGATTTATAAAATAATCTTTATTTCCAAACGTTTCGACATTCAATTTAATGTCATCATCAGTGGATATTACGTTGGTTAGTTACATATAGAGAAGTGTACACAGCACTAGAGATTTGGCACTAACATTTATACAACTAACTTGTCAGCACTATGCATTTTTTTATATAATTTTTTTGTATGATGTAAACAGAAAAATGATAGTTTTATTGAACAAAAATGTAAGTAGAATTATGTTATTTCTGCCACGACTTCTGTACTTTGCTAGTACCGAGGCATGTATATACATGCTTCGGTACTAGCAAAGCATACATGGCTTTTCTTTGTTTGATGTATCGCCCTCAAGAACTCACTCATATATTTCAACATCAAAATTAACTACTAAATCATATATATATATATATATATATATATATATATATATATATATATTATTTAATATTAAGAAATGATGTTCCAATAATAGATTCCACAAACACTTTCTTTATTATATATAGTATTTTTTTTTTACTTTTGTACTGAAATGGACCACATATAAAACTGTAGGAAAAAGTCTACAAATATACAAAATTTTCTGACTTTTGTCAGAGATTTTGAAAATAACATATATTTTAGTGTAATATGAATTTCTTTTTTAATTTTGCTCTGGTAGTATTGTGGCGTATTTCTCTGGTTCTCTGGCAAGTGGGTTTGGGTGATCCTGAAGGCAGCTTTTGTAATTGTCTGAATATTTTCATCTTCATGTAGTAACCAATACGGATCATTATAAAATTTAGAGTTTTTTAATGTTGACAAATTTTGGAAATTTTAAATTTAACAAGTACTACTTTAACAAGTAGTCTTAACTCTAGGAAACTTGGGGCTAGATTTTATTAATATTTCTTTTACTGTGATCCTAGAAATGTTTTTACCTTGATGGTTCAAAATTGAAATGAACAATAAAAGAACAAAAATAATGGATATTAATCTAATTAATTTAATTTTAATTTTAATTTAAAGTAATTTCTCACCTTTTACACAATCTTTGGCTTGGCACGAATATTTCAAGACCAAGAGTGGCCAAATCGGTTCAGCCGTTTTAGAGTTTTAGCGAATCTAACATAATATCGATAGATATATATATATATATATATATATATATATATATATATATATATATATATTATGTATGCCTATTATTATTGATTAAGACTTTGATAATCTCATTGAAAATGGGCGTGTGCCTTATTGTGTTTCATTATTAAATTGGCATTGAATCTCTATTTCTGAATTACATAATATAGAAAACAGCTCAATTGTTTATTACTACTAATTGTACAGTTTTAACTGTTAATGGCGATTTTAATAACAATGTCGATTGAAATGGACTCGTTAAAGTGGCAATAAAAATTATTAGAAACATCTGATGCGATTCTTATCTGATTGTTAAAAGTAATTGGTAGAGGCATCAGAAATTAAAAGAAGGAATTTATAACGGGACAGAAATGCAATTGTGTTCGAGAAAATATTTGTTGAAAATTTCTTCTTAGGAAGATTTCTTCTTAGTTTTGCAATCGCAAAACTGGTTCGTAAGTCCACTTACATTTTCAAATGCTCTTGTATATCAACAGGCTTGTAAATAGGAATTCTGTCCAAAAAGTCTCAAGTTGATGTTGCTCCGAGTTGATTGTTTTTTCTTACATTGAACTTAACAATTATATCAATCCAAAAAATATTTAAATTTCGTAAATATTCAACTGATCATCATTTTGTATGTTTTCTTATTTTCTCCTGATCAATAGTCAGTGGGCGCCATCATATAGCAGTTTCTCACGTGATCATAATGGATTTTGGCTCTCATTTCAAACTCGGCCATGAACCAGATTGTGTAATAAAATAGGTCATTTGAGACATTAGATGGGCTCAACATTCTGTTAATTCTAATGTAGACAAACAATTATGTATTAAGAAGTCAGATTTGATTTAAAACATATGCACGAAATTAATAAAATTGAAAACTAATAGTTTTGTGGAAGCGTATACACACCATATGTATACTGGGAAGAAATTGGTGGAAACATGTGAATCAAAATATAATGAATCACCAAGGTTTAATTATAAATGAAACATCATTTTTTTATATTTTTTGCCGACAATATTACATTTAACTTCCCGTAAGGCTTGTTATGACAAAATAATTGCTTGAATAAAATAAAATAGAAGAAAATTGGAAACAATTTTTTTAAATTATTTTGGTATATCGAAAATACTTTAGGATATTCTGAACTTTTTTTCAAAGCAATCGTACTGCTTTAACTGCATAGAGACGAAATATCGAAGCGCGTAAGCGCCGCGCCGCCGTCTAACGGATAAGCATTGGTACGGAACCCATAGGAATGTAAACAAAATTTATACTTATTGCTATAATCTCTATAAAACATCTGATAATTTGATGTGCATATGTCTAATAATCATGTTTGACTGCCAAATGGCATTTTTTACTTTTTTTACTAGATCTCCAAAATCGCGAGATCTACCTTCATGAAAATTTAATCAGTTGTTCATCTTTGTCAATACAAGTAAAATGTTTTTTAAACCACTCAAATCGGATACTCCGATCTCTTAAAAACTGAGTTACCGTTTGTGGCACTTTTTGCCCCGTATCTTCAAAAAGGCTAGACCTGCCTATGCTAAAAACTAATCAACACTTCTTCTTATCAACAGCAATCCAATGATTTTTGAATAATTAAAATCGGTTGAAACGTGTTCCCGAAATCGTCAACGAAAATTTGTATCCGCACGCACACACACGCACACACACACACTCACACACACACACACACACACACACAAGCATACATCCATTTTTTCTAAGGTATGCCAAAATATTCAGTAACCTTTGAAACGTAAACATATATAAAAAATTTTATTTTCGATTTTTTTGCGATTACTATAACTTACCCTAC